GATGCCGACGCCGCGCAGGGCGTTGATGGTGGACGGCAGGTACCACAGGTAGTCGTACCACGCCTCGGAGGGCGTGACCAGGTAGCTGGTGACCACGAAGGACGCCACCTCCAGCATCCACGTCGCGCCGGACCAGACCACCAGTTTGATCGACTCCGTCCAGCTGAGGGGAGAGGGTCGTTAGGGGCCAAAGGCAGCGTAGGATCAGGCCATTCACACACAGACATACACTTAAACACACACACACAACATACAGGGCGCTAAAGAACAACCACAGATGAACAGAATAGCGTTCAGATATTCATCAAGGAAAAATCCTAAGCCGCATGCCAAACATTCACCGTCCACACAGAGAAACAGACAGCTGGAAGGTCCATTAAGTCGCAAATCTTAAGCCAAACATTCACCGTCCACACAGAGAAACAGACAGCTGGAAGGTCCACTTACAGGTTGCGCGTCTGATGCGTCCTGAGGCCAGAGGAGGCCGGCTGCGCGTGGCCCGACTGGTCAGTGCTGGTGTTGGTGCTGCTGCCGCCGCCCGCCTCGGTCTGCCTCTTGAGCTCGACCCACTCGGACCCTGAGGGAAGGGGGGGGAGGGGAGGGGGCGATATTATCAGTCGTTCTCTGCGATACTTGCTAATTGCTTCTAACATGGTTCAGTTGAAGTTCATTATCCATGTATAGGATGATCATAATGATAGTAATGATGATTTTTTTCTTGTTTGCTAATTATTCATAATGCTAATCCATTTGCGTGGACTTGAGTCTACCAGATCACCCCCCCCCCCCCTTTCATTATTCTTTTCTTCCTTCGTACCAAATTCAGTCACCTTCTTCCCTTCTTCCTCGCCCCTTTTAGCTTACCTCGTCCTCCTCCTCCTCCTGCTGCTGCTGCTGTTCCTCCTGCTCCTCCTCCTGTTCCTCGCCCCTTTTACCTACCTCCTCTCCTGTCCTGTTCCTCCTCCTCCTGCTGCTGCTGTTCCCCTCCTCTCCTGCTCCTCGCCCCTTTTAGCTTACCTCGTCCTCCTCTCCTGCTCCTGTTCCTCCTCCTCCTCTTCTTGCTGCTGTCTCCTGCTCCTTTTAACTTACCTCCTCCTGCTCCTGTTCCTCCTCCTCCTCCTCCTCCTGCTGCTGCTGCTCCTCCTGTTCCTCCTGCCTTTTAAGTTACCTCCTCCTGCTGCTGTTCCTCTTGCTCCTCGCCTCTTTTAACTTACCTCGGCCTCCTCCTCCCCTCTGCTTCTCCTCCTGCTCCTCTCTCGCCCTTTTACCTACCTCTCCTCCTCCTCTTCCCCCTCCTGCTGCTGCTGTTCCTCCGGCTCCTCCTCCTTCTCCTCCTGCTCCTGCTCCACGCCCCTTTGAACATTGAACTGTTCCTCCTGTTCCTCCTCCTCCTCCTGCTCCTCGCCCCTTTTAGCTTATCTCGTCCTCCTGCTCCTGCTGTTCCTCCTACTCCTCCTCCTCCTGCTCCTCCTCCTCCTGCTCCTTCTTCCTCACCCCATTCGAACTTACCCCTTCCTCCTCCTCCTCCTCCTGCTGCTGTTGCTGTCCCTCCCGTTCCTCCTCCTCCTCCTCCTCCTCCTCCTCCTCCTCCTCCTCCTCCTGCTCCTCCTGCTGGTGTAGACGCCTTCTTCTTGTTGCCTCCGTGCTCCAGCTTCCTCAGCTTGGCACTCCTGAGGATCCTGGCACCCATCAGGAGGCCTACGTTCGCCAGGAGAGTGAGGAAGAGCGGCAGGTGCATGTACAGCAGCTGGGCGTTCGGGTCTGCCGGGGAGGAACGAGCGTGGTGGTGATAGTGGTGATATTGATTAGAAAGGTGATGGTGATGATGGTGGTGGTGATAATGGTAATAATGGTGGTGGTGGTGGTGATGATGGAGGTGAAGATGATGATGGTGGTGATGATGGTGATGGTGGTGGTGAAGATGATGGTGGTGGTGGTGGTGGTGATGATGATGATAATGGTTACCATCCCCCTTTTACCTTCTCCCATACTCTTTATTTCCCTATTCCACTTTCTTCGCCTTATCTCAATACTTGTTCTCCCATTTTCATACCCCCTTCTTTCTCCTCCTTTTCCTCCCCTTCTAAACTCATTTTCCCCCTCTCCTTCCTCCACTTCCATCCCCCATCCCCCTTTCCTCTCCCCTCTCCCTTCTCCCCTCCCTCCCCTTCCCCTCTTCCCTCTTCCTCTGCCTCATTCCCCTCCTCTTCTTCCCCTCTCCCTTTTTCCTCATTCTCCTCTCGTTCCTCCTTCCCCCCTCTCTTCCTCCTCCCTTCCCCTCTCTCCTCCTCCGCTTTCCCCCTCTCCTCTCCCTCTGCCTCATTCCCCTCCTCTCTCCCCTCCCTATTTCCTCATTCTCCTCTCGTTCCTCCTTCCCCCTCTCTCCTCCCCCCTCCCCCTCTCTCCTCCTCCATTTCCCCCTCTCCTCTCCCTCTGCCTCATTCCCCTCCTCTTCTTCCCCTCCCCTTTTTTCCTCATTCTCCTCCTCTCGTTCCCCCTT